GGGATTTTAAAGACTATGGACTTAACGAGTTTTGAAAAAAATTGATTTGGTAAATTTCAACGAAAATTGGAACTTTTGAAATTTCACAGGTTTTTCAGGGTTTCAGGAATATTAAGGATTTTTTGAAGGTTTTGGAAATACCGTACGCCACCCCACTTTGAGCCTAAATATCTCACTTTGGAAAGATATCCAAAAGTGTCAACTAATAAAATATTTATCATGATATCAGCAACATTTTATCAGTTGATCACTTTTTGATATCTTTCACAGAAAATGAGATACATGGGCTCAAATTTGACGAATCGGTTGACGTTCTATTAGAGTTTTCTATTAGAGGTATTAGAGTGGCAGTTGAAAATCTTGATGTAAAGATTTTTTTTGGAGGATTTTTTCGGAATTTCAGGAACTTGATGAAAATATGGAAAAAAAAGGTTTACGAATTTTTCGGATTTTTGAAATTCTCGAGTTTTCGAAAGTTAGGATATTTTGGAATTTTTGAGTTTCGAATACTTTTTCGAAATTTTAAAATTCTTTTTTTCAAGTTTCGGAGAAATCTAAAACAACCAATACTTTCAAAACTACCGTAAACCCTGCATTAGAAGGGCGGGCCCTTCTATTGTTCCAAGGTACCTCCGGAGGGCCCTTCTATTAGAGGGAGGCCCTTCTATTCTTCCGACCAGTTTTTTTCTCAAAATTTTGCATTTCATGAAAATCTGCCAATTTCTTTTGGGGAGTCCTTTCTCACAGAGGGCCCTTCTATTACAGGGGTCCTTCTATTGTTCCAAGCCCTCTGAGAGTACTTAGGATTTTTGGAATGGAAAGATTTTTCTGATTTTCGAAAATTTTGGATATTTTGGATTTTTGAGTTTCGAATTTTTTTCGAAATCTCAAAATTATTTTTTGAAAAAAAAAAATTAAATAGATAATAATTTTTTGGAAAAAAATGACCCAAAGAAAGCCACCCTCAGTATAAAATATGCTTTAAATTTTCAAAAAATGATTTCATTTTTGAACAAAAAAAAAAAAGAATCGGGAAGAATCAAAAAGGGATTACCCCACCCGAGATAAATGAAATCAGAAATTAAAAAATCCAAAAAAGTATTCTCTATATTTTTTTCTCCGCCTACACTTTCCCTAAAAAAGAATTTGCCCTCTATTGTCTGAAAAAAGAGAAAAATCTGAAAATAGCGAAAATTCAAAAGTTCATGATCTCCTCCCGGGAAAATGGATTAGGAACATTTTTTGGAATTTTTGGACGAAATTTGTCATAATTTTGAAAAATTCAAAAATGCGGTGAGTCAGATGGATTCTGATTGTGAGATTGTGAGAATCTGAGATTCTCAGATTCAGAGATTCCGAGATTCTGAGATTCTGGGATTTTGAGATTTTGGGATTCTGAGAATCTGAGAATCTGAGAATCTGAGATTCAGAGATTCAGAGGTTCAGAGATTCAGAGATTCTGAGAATCTGAGAATATGAGATTCTGAGATTCTGAGATTATGAAGATTATGAGATTCTGAGATTCTGATATTCTGAGATTTTGAGATTTTGAAATTCTGAGAATCTGAGAATCTGAGAATCTGAGATTCTGAGATTCCGAGATTCTGAGATTCTGAGATTCTGAGAATCTGAGAATATGAGATTCTGAGATTCTGAGATTATGAAGATTATGAGATTCTGAGATTCTGAAATTTTAGGATTCTAAGATTCTAAGATTCTAAGATTCTAAGATTCTAAGATTCTGACATTCTGACATTCTAAGATTCTGAGGTTCTGAGATTCTGACATTCTCAGATTCTGAAATCCAGAATCTTAAGAATCTAGAAATTCCAAAATCAGATTCCTAATCTCTTTTGCGTCATCCGATTTTTCTTATTTCTGCACAATCTGTGTTCTTTCTCCCATTCTTTTTCATTTTCTCATTTCTTTTTGCTGAAAATAGAAGGAGAAATTCTATTTCTGTCATTTTGCAACACATCGTCTTCATATCTCTCCAGGGATCTTCTTAGAAAAATAGGGAGCGTTGAAAAATGAGAGACGCAGAGAAAAATTGGAAAATGACGCTTTCTGAAATGAGAGGAGGAGGGCAAAACATAGAATAGCACAATCTGATGAGTTGCAAAAAATTTTGAATTCGTCATTTTTTGGAAAAAAAATTACTGGAAAATCTGAAATTTTGAGTTTCAGATATTTGAAATTTAGAGAAGAGCAATCTAATTTTTTTTAGACAACTTTCGATGTTTTACGAATTGCAAACATTTTAAAATTGAAAGTTTTGGAATTTCAGAAGGTTTTTGAATTTCAGATACCTTTCTATTGTTTCCAGGTACCTCTGGAGGGCCCTTCTATTACAGGGGGGGGGGGGGCATTCTATTTCTCTGGCCGGTTTTTTTCTAAATTTCGCAACGAAAAATTCGACAAAGTTTCGTTCAAAATTCATGAAAATCTGCCAATTTTACCAAAATTTTTCAAGATTTTGATCGAAAAATAGAGTTTCAACAAATTCCTATTAAATTGTGGAGTTCCCGGAATATTTTCCACTGAAAAAGTGCGGAAAATTTTTGTCAAAATCTCGGAATCTCAGAATCTCAGAATCTCAGAATCTCAGAATCTCAGAATCTCAGAATCTATGAATCTCAGAATCTAAGAATCTCGGAATCTCAGAATCTGAGAATCTGAGAATCTTAGAATCTCGGAATCTCAGAATCTCAGAATCTAAGAACCTTAGAATAATCACATTTTGAAAGGGGGGTCCTTTTTCACAGAGGGCCCTTCTTTTACAGGGGGTGCCCTTCTATTTTTCCGAACCCCTCTCGGAGGCCCTTCTGATAGAGGGGTCCATTTATTACGGGGGCCCTTCTATTACGGGGGTCCTTTATTACGGGGGCCATTTTATTACTTCTATTTTTCCAAGCCCCTCTCGGAGGGCCCTTCTATTAGAGGACCCTTCTATTAAAGGGGCTCTTCGATAACAGTTTTTACGGTAGTTAGAAATTTAGAAGTTCAGATTGTGTTGGAAATTTTAAAAATTTCGAAGAGTTCCGAACGTTCTTAGATTCGGAAACATCCAAGAAATTCAAAAAATCCAAAAATTCAGAAATTTTCAAAAATACAAAGCAAAAAAAGGTGAAAATACGGTCCCTGAAGTTTAAAAAATTGCAGATCTGAAATTTCGAAAAACCAAGTTCAAAAAGAAAGAAAATCAGATAGGAAATTGTGTAAAACTGAAATCGGGAATTTTGAACTTTGAAAATTCAAAGTGTAGTTTAAAAATTAGAAGATTTTCGAGTTTTTCGAAATTTTAAAAAGTACTTTTTTTGTTTTTTTTTGTGTGGGAACTACTTCCCAAATTATGCATGACCTCATGCCTAAAAACCTAAAAGCCACTTGTCTAAAGTTCGAAAATCAAAAATCTTATGATTTAAAAAATTTAGATTCAAAAACTGGACAGAAAAGTTATTTGAGAAATCATTGTGAAATCTAAAAGTTGTAATTTTCAGAAATTCGAAATTCTGAATTTCTGAATTTCTGAATTTCTGAATTTCTGAATTTCTGAATTTCTGAATTTCTGAATTTCCGAATTTCTGAATTTCTGAATTTCTGAATTTCTGAATTTCTGAATTTCTGAATTTCTGAATTTCTGAATTTCTGAATTTCTGAATTTCTGAATTTCTGAATTTCTGAATTTCTGAATTTCTGAATTTCTGAATTTCTGAATTTCTGAATTTCTGAATTTCTGAATTTCTGAATTTCTGAATTTCTGAATTTCTGAATTTCTGAATTTCAGAATTTCTGAATTTCTGAATTTCAGAATATATATAATGTCCAAAATTGATAAATTCTTATGAAAAAATTCCAAAACAAAAACCATATAGATTTCAAATCTCTAGGGAAATAAATAACTATTTTATGCTTTTATAAAAAATTAATTTTAGATAGGAGACAATGGTTCTCATGGGAAAAATGTCATTTCTATAATAAAGCTGAAATTTCTTTTTCCAAAAAAACTGACTCCGCCCACTTTAGAGCCGTTTGCAGGTCAGAAAAAAATTACGCAAATTGACTCTGACTATACAGAAAAAACGATGAAATCATTTATTTTTATTTTCTCTCTGCAGCAGAATCTTCTCGTCAAAAAAAGGGGAAAAAGAAGGCAAATCAAAACAAGTCGACGTCTTCAAAAAAATGACGATGCCAATTAAGAATTGAGAAAAAAGAAAAGTCATTGCTCATCTTCTACATCATCTCTCATCGTCATTGTCAGCGCGAAAATAGAAAATGTCAGATATTTTTTAGAGAAATTTAAAATTCTGATTTGTCATTCTAAACCAATTTTCCCGGAAACGTCCGGAAGTTTCTAGGTGGGGGTGGATGGATTTCTCTGGAAAATATTTTTTGAGAAAAATGATACCTATCTCTGGAAATCTGAAAATTTTTTTTGAAAAGATAATTTTTGGGATCTGTACAAAAAATTATTTTGCGCGGTCAGAGTAGGGAGTTTTCGAATTTTTCAGAATTTTGATATGGTGCACATTCTGAAATTCTTCTCTTTTGAATCCTGGGTCCTGGGTCCTGGGTCCTGGGTCCTGGGTCCTGTTTAGATTTTTAAAAATTTCATGAGAATTTTGATTTTTTTGAATCATTTGAAAATTTTGGAAAATTTTGATTTTTTTTTGTATTTTCAGGAATCAACAAAATTTTTGAAAATCAATAAAAACGAAGCAAAACTGTGATGTTTTTATTTTTAACATTCACAAAAACGAAAAAAAAAGAGGATCGTATAACTTAAGTTGTTCTGAAGTTCTTCGATTTTCACCATTTGTTCGAGATGACCATGTAGGCTGGAAGTCGTTCCGAGTACGGTACCACCTGAATCACACCGTACGCATTTTCGTTCGCCGCGATTTCTGCAAAAAAATCGGAAAATGTGCAAAACCCCAATGTTGGATGCTGTAGATCTGTCAAAATACCTATACTCGAGAACTTTGGCTCTCACATATTTAAGTTGATTTTTTTGCGGTTTCTGAGCTCTCAGTAGGTGCAATAATATAGTTTCTAGCTGTTCTAGAACCCGAGATATAACCAGTTGAAGTTTCGAAGGTTAGAGACGCAGCGTGTCTCGTCGTCTGGCGTCTCTAACCTCGAAAACTTCAAAAAGCTGTATCTCGGCCTCTAGAAGCTCTATAAACTTGACGTTTTTTTGTTTTTGAATCTGTTTCTTCGACTTTATCAATCTAAAAACATCACTTCACGGTCAATTCTCTTACGGTACCTCTAAATATTCTCTTGAGCTCCGTTTGGCTTGGCGATGGAGCCGATGTAGTGATTCCAATGATAAGAAGGAGAATAGTGAAGATGGAGAGCATTTTCAGTAATCTGAAAATTCAGAATTGTTTAGAAGTTCGAAAATAATCTTCAAATTAAAATACTGTAGCTCCTCTAATAGAAGTCCACCCAAACTGTCAACTTTGAGCTCAACTATCTCAGTTCCTGTAGAAGCTATCAAAAAATTGTCTACTGATAAAACTTTGGAAATATAATGATAAACATGTTATCAGTTTACATAATGTTTCTATCTTTTACAGGAATCGAGATAATTGAGCCCAAAGTTGACAGCTCGATATGGCGTCTATTAGCCGACCAAAACCGAGAAAACTCACAAAGCATTCATTTTGTATCTCCTTCTTTGTTATCCCAAAAGTTTGGTCCAAACTCACTGAACAACGTTTTTTGGGGAGAAAAACGTCAGTTTCTTAGAGAAATCTGCAAAAATTGAATTTAAAAGGAATCAGGGGAGTCCCAAAAAAGGATGGAAGAGGGGACCAATGGGAAGAAATCAAATTTTGAATTTTGGGATTTTTGAAGAAAAAAAAAGATGACGTCGGATTTTCAGAAATGCTTTTTACCAAAATTTGAAAAAAAAACACCAGATTGTGATTTTACGGTTTAGCTGGGATTCAGAAATTATCTGAAATTCAAAATCTAAACAAAATGTTTAAAAACTCAAAATTTTCAAAGTTAAAAAAAATATAGTATTAAGAAAACCAGCCGGTTTACGCCACCTGCCAGGGGCTCAACCTCCTAGCTTCCGCTGTAGAAATAGATTGACGTCTTCAGAAGACGTCAAAAACAAACTTTCGAAACGATAGAGTCAGGCATTATCTCGTTGATATTTCGAGTTATCTGTGAAAATTTCAAAAATTTTGGTCCAACGGTGACTGCGCTAGGGTCGGCGACCAGGGAACACTCACACACAGAAATTGGTGATTGTTAATAGTAAAGATACTATTTCAAAAAATACTAAAATTCGAAGAAAAATTATTTTCTAACAAAATAAATAATTCAGAAAATCCCCAGAAAATCGAATTCACGGAATTACCGAAAAATCCCAGAATAACAAAAGTTTTAAAGTTTCAAAAACGTCCAACAAGAATCCAAAAATTCAGACAACCTCTAATCATTATTAATAACATTCACCAAATTCCGTTTGTTGGTTTTTATGTCGCGTGTCATTACGCCCACTCAAAGTTAACCGATTGAGCTGAAACCTGGACAGACGGATCAGAAAGTTTCATTAGTTTAGGCCCAACCTTTTCTAATTTTGAAATTTTGATTTTGAAGTCTTCTGGAGACGTTCCTTGGTTTCACCACAGTGAAGGGTGGCGGGCAGAGAGAGCGAGAGAAGAAGGGAGGAAATCCAACAAGGTACTGTAACTGGAGGCCAGGAGGTTTAGCCCCGAAGGGGCGCAAACCGACTGGTTCCAGATAATTTGAGAAAAAGAATTCGGGATTTCAAAAAAGGGAAAATTCTCATGGTCCAAAATTCAAAAAACTTCAAAAATTCGGAAAATTTCCGAAAATTCTGAATTTCAAATCTATTTAAAAAATGACTCTACTCTATTTTATCTATTTCAATTCGTTTCGTTTTTTTTTCAAAGTACAAACTACACAATAAAACTTGCTCTCTCTAAAAAGTGTGCATCACACTAAATTCCTAGAATTAAAAAAGTGCTACTGAAAAAAGTTTAAGGACCCATCTGCACGTTTTCGGCTGTTAGTTTCTAGTTTAGTTTCTATTTGTTCAACTTTTTATTGAATAAATGAATGAAACGGAAAAAAAAGAAGATGGTAATTTTCAATTATGAAAAGTTTTAGAAAAGTTTTAAAATTTCTAGAAAATTCTGGTTACTGGTCATTATCTTTTTCTAGAGAAAAATTTGAGACAAAAAATGCCCAAAACCGGAAACAATCAAGGATATTGGGGACTTATTCATAAATTCAGAAATTTAGAGAATTTGGGAATTCAAAAATTCAGAAATTCAGAAATTCAGAGAATTCAGAAATTCAGAGAAATCAGAAATTCAGAGAATTCAGAAATTCAGAGAATTCAGAAATTCAGAAATTCAGAAATTCAGAAATTCAGAAATTCAGAAATTCAGAAATTCAGAAATTCAGAACTTCAGAAATTCAGAAATTCAGAAATTCAGAAATTCATGAATTCAGAAATTCAGAGAATTTGGAAATTCAGAAATTCATAAATTCAGAAATTCAGGAATTCAGAAATTCAGGAATTCAGAAATTCAGAAATTCAGAAATTCAGAAATTCAGAAATTCAGAAATTCAGAACTTCAGAGAATTTGGAAATTCAGAAATTCAAAAATTCAACAAGTTGATTTTTTTCAGGGTGATTTTTTATACTATTTTTTTTTATTTTTCAGAAAACAAAACAAAATTTCAAGAAAATTTGTGTAAAAATAGTAAAAGTGTTTACTTTTATAGTATAAAACCAGTTTTTTTCTAATTACCAAAAAATAATAAAAAAAAGAAAAAACGTAGCCAATCAGTGATTAGTGATAAAAGAGAATGAAATAAGTCAAAAGATATAAAATATTCGAAAATCTGAAAATTTCAAAAAAAATCCCAAAAAGTTGAAAACTTGAAATTTAAAATTCAGAAAATCGCAAAAATCCTCAAGTTTCAAAATTTCCAAAAATACAATTTCATTCAAATTTCTAGAATTCTTCTATTTTTTGCTATACTACACGACTACTATACTTTTTCAGAGAAAAAAAAATGATGTTGACATTTAAAATTAAAAGAGGGACATGCCCCCAAATTCAGTTGGGACCGCCCAACTAATTTTCGGACCAATTTTCTGTTTCCCAAAAGTTCAATCGACACGCAATCAGCTCTCCAAAATTGGCTTCAAAAATCTGAAATTGCGTTCAAAAAAAAATTTTTTTCGGAATTTTTTTCAGATAACGTCAAGGATATTCTGAAGTAGAAGTTTTTTTTTCTATGGAATATTCTGAAGACGATTTGTCTGAAATTTTTTTGGAGGCGAAAAATAGATAGGAGACAATGGTTCTCATGGGAAAAAAAAGTCATTTCTGTGGGTGGACAGACAGAACCGAAAAATGAAAAATTAGTTTTTTTGGAATTTTTCTAAAAAACGAAATTCCTAAATTTTCCAAATAGAAAACCTTGCTGAAAGTTGCCTGGAAAAAAAATTTTTCTAGATTTTTTAGCCAAATAAATGTAGGATAGTGCTAATTTGATTTTCAGTAAAAAAAAAGCTGAAAAAAAGTTTTTTTTTTAGGAATTCCATTATCCCTAATGGAACCATACTGAAAATTTCAGAAAAAAATATTTCAAAACGAATAACATTACGAAATAGGTCAAAACTTGCCAAAAACGTAAAATTCTGTACAAATTTCAAAAATAATAAAGTTTCTAGCTCATCTGGGAGCCGAGATACAGTTCTTTAAAATTTTGAAGGCTAGAGACGCCAGACGACGAGACACACTGCGTCTCTCGCCTCCGAAACTACAATTGGATATATGGCTTCTAGAAGTGCTAGGAACTTGGTTTTTCTTCTGAACGACTTCTCTTCATAAGGGGTTTTCAGATATATAATTTTTTAGACGATACAAATAGTTTTGAAAATTTTCCAATTTTCACATTGTTCAATTGTTTTCAAAATTCACAAAAAAGTGAAATTCGCTGCTATTCTGTCAAAAAACCAAGCTCATAGCGCACCTGGGAGCAGAGATACAACCATTTGAAGTTTTGAAGAGACGCAGACAGTTAGAGTGTCTCATTGTCTGCGTCTCTAGGCTCCCGAAACTTCAAATGGCTATATCTTGAGTTCTTGATAAGCTAGAAAGATGAAAATTGAGCGGAAATGTTAGAAATCATTCGAAATTTTATTGCCATCAAAAAAATTCGAAAAAAAAATTTCCTGAATTTTCGACATTTTGTTTGATAAATGAAAATATTATTAAACTATTATTTCGAGTGTTTTCGCAGTGAAAATAAGCCAAATCGAATCACGGAGCACTAAGATACAGTCGCTGGAAGTATGGGAGGACAGACAACGAGACACTCTAACTGTCTGCGTCTCTCGCTTAACTTCAAATGGTTGTATCTCTGCTCCCAGGCGCGCTATGAGCACGGTTTTTTGACAGGATAGCAGCGAATTTCACTTTTTTTTGTGAATTTTGAAAAAATTGAACAATGTGAAAATTGGAAAGTGTTCAAAATTATCTGTATTGTCTAAAAATCCTATATCTAAAAACCCCATATGAAGAGAAGTCGTTCAGACAAAAAACCAAGTTCCTAGCGCTTCTAGAAGCCGAGATACAGCGATTTAAAGTTTCGGAGGCGAGAGACGCAGGGGGTCTCGTCGCCTGGCGTCTCTAGCCTCCTGAAACTTCCAAGGGCTATATCTCGGCTCCCAGGAAAGCTAGAACGTTGGTTTTTGAACTGAAATCAAGTACGAATATCAAATTTTCGAAATTACGATGAATATTCAAAATATATGATTCAGGCCTTTTCTGGTAAGGCTAAAAATGTTGTACTAGCATAATGGTGGCTTTAAAAAACTAAAAAAGAAACTTAAAACTAAAAAACAGATATTATAAAAATAATGAATCTCAGCTCAAAAATGTTGTTTCGCCCCTCGACAAATAAGAATCAAATTTCAGCCAATCGCGTGTTTTCATATATGTTCATCGTATCGGAAACAGCATTCATCTCAGTCGGTCACATTTTTCTTGAAAATCGGAAAAAAAAGAAAATGAGGAAAAAGTCAAATTCGATTAAATTGAAGATATTAGTGTACATCGTAGTGTGGTGTGTGTGTGTGTGTCAAGGGGGTTAGCAAATTGTAGTTTCCGGAACATTTTTCCTAGAAGATTCTAGAAATATTTATTTTGAAAATGTGGGCTTTCAGGTTCCTGTTGCGAAAATTCCTATGTTTTTAGAAATTTCAAAAAGCTGGCTTCCAAACTTCATTTCAGTTCAATACGGTAATTTTAAAAATTCTACAAAAAATGATGAAAGAATCGCGTTTTTAATGCCTCTAGGAGCTGAGATACAGTGAATTGAAGTTTTGGAGGCTAGAGACGCCAGACGACGAGACACGCTGCGTCTCTAGCCTCGTTGAAGAGACGCACAAAGTGGAAACTTCAAACGCCCGTATCTCGGCTGCCAGTGAAGCTAGAAAGTCGATTTTTTGACCAAAATGAAGCTTGGATATTGTAAAATTGGGAAATCTAATGAACACAATTAATTTTCAACAAAAATCAAAACAGTGAATTTTTGGAAAAACATTAAATTTTTCCCAGCATCTCAAAATTCAAAAAATTTACTTTATTTCACTCTAAAAACCAACTTCCTAAGCTTTATAGGAGCCGAGATACAGCCGTTTAAAGTTTACAAGAGACGCAGACAGTTAGAGTGTCTCGTTGTCTGCGTCTTTAGCTTCCAAATTTTCCAGTGACTGTATCTAGACGCTCCGTGGTACGATTTGGCTCGGTTTTGTCACAAAAGACTTCAAAATGATAATTCAACATAAAAAAATTCAAGAAAATAGAGAAAACAATTTTTTCTTGCATCTCTGGCTTTTTCAACTTGACATTTCTTGTCCTTCAAAAGAACCAGACCTTGAGTTTTGTAGATTTTCGGATTTGCCACTTTTGATAAATCATTTTGGTTCAAAAACCATTTTTCTAGCGCTTCTAGAAGTCGAGATACATCCAATGGAAGTTTCGGAGGCGAGAGACGCAGACGACGACACACTCTAACTGTCTGCGTCTCTGGCTTAACTTCAAATGGTTGTATCTCTGCTCCCAGGCGCGCTATGAGCTTGGTTTTTCGACAGAATAGCAGCGAATTTCACTTTTTTTTGTGAATTTTGAAAAATTGAACAATGTGAAAATTGGAAATTTTTCAAAATTATCTGTATCATCTAAAAAATTATATATCTGAAATCCCCTTATGAAGAGAAGTCGTTCAGAAGAAAAACCAAGTTCCTAGCGCTTCTAGAAGCCGAGATACATCCAATTGAAGTTTCGGAGGCGAGAGACGCAGTGTGTCTCGTCGTCTGCGTCTCTAGCGTTCAAAACTTCAATTAACTGTATCTCGGCTCCCAGATGAGCTAGAAACTCGATTCTTCTTGAGATTTATTCAGAATTTTTCGCTTTTTTCAGTGCCACTTTCATTAACTGACTTTATTCTTGAATTTCTTGTTTTTTGCTTTAAAAACATCAAAAGGAGCAAGTGGGGAAAAAATAATAAAGAGACATTTTTAAGAGATCAAGTTATAATATTTTTTTCAGCGAAAACTTTTTGGGATGAGAGAAAAAAATTAAAGGGTGGGGGGGGGGGGGTGTTGACTAGAAATTGTTATGGAATCAAAGATTAATGGGTTGGAAAGAAAAATAATAATAAAGCTGTGAGGTAAAATTGAAGTTTTCAGGGGGATTTTTCAGATTTTCAGATTATCTGAGAACAGGTGAATAGATGATTTTTTCAGAAGAAAAAAACACAACCAAAATAAAAATATCGGAAAAGTAAGAGAGATCAATGATTAAAAATTAGAATGTTTATGAATTTAGAGGCGGTGGCCTAGGATCCCAAGAAGTCCGCAATTTCTAGACCATCACCATATCGTACATTTTTCTGTGGGATTCATGAAACTTGTTGTGGGACACTGCCACGCGTCGGCAAATTCTGGAGAGTTTTGAAGTGAGCCGAGCATTCTGGAAAAAATATTTTTATTAGAAAAATCAAAATTTTTGTAAACCAGCAAAAAAAAGCAAGAAATTCCCTCGTAAATCAGAGAAAAACGAGGTTTCTAGCTCATCTAGAAGCCGAGATACGTCGCTTTGAAGTTTCTAAGGTTAGAGACGCAGCGTGTCCCTTCGTCTGGCGTCTCTAGCCACTCTAACCGTCTGCGTTTCTCAATAACTTTGAATGGCTGTATCTCGGCTTCTAGACGTGCTAGAAAAGTGGTTTCTAGACTGAGTTGAAGTAAATTCATTGAATTTTGAAAGCTAAAAAATATTTCCAATGGATTTGAAATTTTTAAAACTCAATTTTTTGATTTCCACTTAAAAATTAAATTGATCAAATTTCCCAGTTTCTTGAACTTCAATGCAGTCCAAAAATCAACTTCCTAGCGTTTCTGGCAGCCGAGATACAGCCGTTTGAAGTTTCCAATGTCTGCGTCTCTTCAAGAAGGCTAGAGTGTCTCGCCGTCTGCGTCTCTAGCCTCCTAAACTTTAATTCGCTGTATCTCAGCTCCTAGAGACGGTAAAACCGCGATTCTTTCATCATTTTTAGTAGAATTTCCAAAATTACCGTATTCTCTCCTCCATATGTGGTTGTAGTTTGTAGGTTTTTGATCTTAAAGCACACCATCCTTGGGTGTACGCTAAGAAGAATAATTGGTCTTGCGAGTACTTTTCTAGGCCAGGCATACGGGCGGAATTCAGAGTTCCAGAATGTTTCCAAGCCTGAAAATAGGATAACGGTTAGGGTATCTTGTGGTCTGCGTCTCTCATTATGGTCCAAAAACCAGGTTTCTAGCTCATCTGGAAGCCCAGATACAGC